TTTACTTGGGTATTGAAGCACTAGTAAAATTCAACATTGGTTTTCAAATTGTTCAGTATAGGATGCAAATATGTGTCTCGATCACCTGATGGTAAGCGGTACGTAAAACATTAAGTCCGTTTACGTGTTTAAATTTACTTAACAACGTATAAAGTTTAATAAAAATTGGTTTAATAATTTCCAAGATCTTGGTCCAAGGTCTCGGAATAATGTGCGGTAAATCACGCCACGTCAGTGCTCGTAACAAAATATCAATTTACCGACATCATTGTTCAAAAACTAATTGTATGATTATCTTACTAATGAGTTCCTATTAAATCGCTTCCCCACACACGTTACATACAACTCGCGACGATAATCCTGGCAATTCACAAAAACGTTCTAAATTCGAACAATACCGTGTGGCAACTGTTTCTGACGACTTCATTAAACACAGCGGTTTTGAATTGATGACGTCACAATCCAGTGAGCCAAATTACCATTGCAATGGGAACGTTCACTCGTTCACCCGGCTGCATATTATTACCACTAAAAAAGGCTAAGAGGCTAAGTTTAATGTACCATGTGGATACTTGGCTAGGAAAAGATTTTCCGCCCCTTCAAGTTGCCATTCGGTATTCGTTGAAATTAACGTAATTGTCTTGTTGATGTGGACATTCGGAAATATTAAGTTGTAAATGTATAATGTACGTGTGAACAGTTTTATAACGATTTTGAGAATTCAATTTGTCTTGTGGTGCGTACCAATGTATTTAGACATAATTTATAGAAATAAATTTGGTCTCGCACATTGGACTCGACAACTGCTGAGATTGTCATATTTAAAATTGGACCAAGAACACTTCCAATTTTGAATATGGATCTATAATAAATAGGTGACTATTGGTATATCGTGTACCTATGTATTATAAGTAAATCGCAGTGTACAGACCACGTGGCAAGAACCAAGGCATCCAAGCTGTTAGTTATGTTAGACTACACGATTAACTATCCGTAGCTCACGGTTGAGATGTCAAAGGGAGCAACGTGCGAAAACCGAGTCTTCCTCGTAATTTGTTCAGTATACGCCAGGAGCACACCTGGTCAGGACACGCCGCTTGCTGCGAACTCCACTGTAATATTTTATCATCTGCTTCATTTAATAGCAATGTTTTCTATATTTTATCTTTATAATACCTTTATTTTGTACAAATCTAAGTGATATCAATCTGAAAGAAAAGGTATTACAGCACAGACTTAATCAAAATGGCATTAAGTATGGAAGAGCGATGGTTCAGAACAAATAAGTCTGGTCGATTGGAGTACTACGGCCCCACAGAAAACCGGCATGAAATAACGCTTACATTATGTTCCTTTGTATAAATAATCTAATCCTATCCCTATAGTCCCCAAATCCTCAAACCCTTTTATATCTGACTAACCGCCAAAGGGCCAGCAACATGCAAGCCTTTCCATGCTACGGGTATCAGGCGCTAACAATTGCTTACAATAATTCATAATGCTGTTACTCAACGTTCACTTACGCATTATCGAACATTGGTCAAACTCTCGGCAAAGAATAAAAATGTTTACTCATTGAAAATTTCTATCCTTCGATTGAACGTTTCAACATTATACATAGCACTAAATCCCGAATCACATCAACAGATTGACCAAAACTTCGCAAATTATCAACATTTTGGGGTAACAAAATACCGAAACATCGATATAATTGAATCTGCATCTACTTATGGCATTGAAAGCCAAAATCTGTTCGTGATTTTGTCGGCAATACGGCGTGGAAGTTAACAATACATTGGAGGTATGCATTCGAAGCTATATCCATCAATATGTCGTACATAGTTCAATCTCATTGCAGCGCCGATGTTCACTCACATGTTTATCAACAGCACAGAGTCCACTACGAGTGTGCAGTCTCTTTTGTACCTTTGAGGCTTAAGTCATTCTGTCTGTAGTATTAAATGCACTGAGAGAAATAGCAACTATTTCGTTATTCTACTCTTCAAATAATATCTTCTGGTTTATTTCGTTACGGAATCCAAAACGGTAATTGATGTTCAGTGTTTTCATTTATCTTGACTTACAAGAGTTGCAGCGGTTTTGAAAATTTCTGACACTCTCCACTAGTGGACTAAAATATGTGTCTTCTACGTTATGAACAAGAGAAATATGTAAATCTTTGAGCAGATTTTTTTACAGTACAACACCTCATAAAATGACGGAGCTTAATCAGAACGATTTTAACATTAGAATTAAATGTAGTTTCTGTCGGAGAACTTACATCAATCCAGTGGTTATGACTAGAGACTTGGACTTTGAATTTAAAATTGATTAGGTAATAACTATACAGTAAAAGAACTAAAGTTTATCAGAAGAAGAATAGGGTTGGTAAAATAATGTAATCATATTCCATTCTGCCTTTACCATTCGGCACCTCAGCATCACGGCACGCAGTTAGCGGATGGAAGAGCAGTAATGTACCGTACTCCGCATGAAAGGAATAGAACGCGAATAGGGTGTTTTTTGGTAAATTATAGACTGATATATTCACATGGTCAGAGAAGGAACTTGGTGATTTTCGCGGCTAAAAAAATCCCTTCGGCATACATGGTTCGTCGAGTGTTTATTCACACAAATTACACAATAAAGTATATACATATAAGGTATAATATACTGTGACCATTGTCTGTGTAACAAAGAATATTATTCATACCTATCGTGGTGATTGCGTGTACCAACATTTTTAGCTGTGAACACGAAAAGTGTGTTACAGGTTTCTGGCGCTACCATGTTACTGAACTCGTTTCATTCTCATTTTTACCTTTTCATATTTTCCTAATATATAAGTCTGTGTAAGTCTGTGAGTAACTCGTGGAACACAAAATTAATCGAAAAAGGCCACTTTTTTACCTGAATTAACTGAGAAAAACTGATTAGTATTTTCATGGATAGGACTCCCATTGCCACTTAAAACTAAGCGAGAATCAACTAAGCTTGTCTTAGTTAAATTAATAAACGCAGAAAAACTCTCATAATTATTTAATCGGATGAATTACAATTTAGGTAACAATTTATCCACATAATACAAATAGGTTTGTCAACAATAAGCTCTAACGAGGTAAATACAAGAAAAAGATACGAATGTTATATAAAATTGATTACAGGTACGTATAGCCTTCATAAAAAGCGTAGCCTTCGGGGCCATGTACTGTAGGGACCTCTAAAAGAGAGAATTAACATAACATAATTCCCCGTATGGATTAAATAATTTTGAAAATGAAAACACAGCTTCGTGATGCGTAATCTAATTAAAAGTACATGAAAGGAGATACGCACAGAATATAAAATGTAGAAATGTTTCTTTTGTAGTAAATTTAAATTTATATATATAGCGAAGTCTTGTTCTTTTGTTTCTGTCTAATTTTATTTAAGCGTGCATGTGTGTAGTTGGAAGTGTATGATAGAATCAAGCTTCGGCGCGGATGGATCGGCTCGACCGTTTTTTTTTATGGTATAGGAGGCAAACAAGCAGACGGATCACCTGATGGTAAGCGATCGGCGCCGCCCATGGACACCCGCAACACCAGGAGTCACAGGTGCGTTGCCGGCCTTTTAAGAAGGCGATACCACGGCCTCACAAAAAAACAAGCGTGAAACAACCACAGCGGTGTTCCGCCGTTTAAATGTTATTGGAGGCCCAATCTTTCCCTTCCCCCAATCCCTAAATCTCGAAATACCCTAATCCCTAAATAGTCGGCAACAAACTCGTAACCCTTGTCGTTGCAGGTGTCCATGGGTGGAGCTGATTGCTTAACATCAGGTAAAAAAAAAAAACGCTGAGACGGTGCTCAATCCAAGCAGGTCCCTTTTTTGCGAGCGACGCGAGCGAGTTTCTAACTCTTACTGACTAAAAGCCATCCCGTTCTTTTTCCTGTTTCATGCTGGGGCAGCGGTATATTATCGTGCTTGCACCACAACCTGGCTAAACATCGGCTCTATTGGGCCCACCTAGGAATTACTTTTACCTACTTTTATTTTGCATAGGTACCTTCAGTCATCCTTAAGACTCGACTAAGGATACAAGTTATTCGTATAGAATAAAGTCTAAAATGGCTAAACCACATTATTTTTTATAACCTAAATGGCACCTATTTTAAAACAAAAGGCGTAAGTTGTTCGATTTCAGCCGTGTTTTCTGTGGTAGGCGTCCTAGTTAACACCCGTCGTAAATAACACATAACCAGGGCATTTGCGAACAAAGCGTGGCCGCGCCACTGTTTTTAATTGAGATTTTTTAACTCTAAGCTTGTATTATACCGCGTTAGTCTGATGTTCGCGTTCACTGAGATTCATATGGCTTTTAAAAAAGTCCTGCCTATATTATGGTGGTTTTTTTTTAAGTGGCTTCCCACGTTTGCTTTGTCTGGAGTACTACGGCGGATAAGTTATTAACCTCAGTACCTTCATGTATTTCTAATTAATATTACGTAAGTATCGTAGCACGCTTCTAAATTTAAATAATTTATCTAAAATATCATCTCTATAATATATAACTATATATGTATATGTCAAAAAGTCTGTGTCATATTTATTATTGCTCAGTTATTTATTATTGTTTTTGTTGAGACTTGGCACAAATGAAAATAACAAATAAAAAAGTTATTATTATTTACTTAATACTATATTCTATTGTACCTATTGTAATGATACACTTTAATGGTTAAGTACAGATATTTGATCTTCAGTTCTTTTTTTGAGGAGGGAAAATCATGGAAATTCTTATCTCATCCAGAGTATGGCGAGAGGAAGTGTCAGACTCTTAATGATAAAACCCTCCGTTCGATCTCCTGCTTCAGGCTGAGGCCACGTTACCTTATTGCGCCATCCCGGTTGAACATCGACCCTGTTCGTTCCCATTGGTGGTGGTCTATTAGCTTCTTGAGGCGTACATGGAACGCTACTCACCCAACACTCGGGCCTTGTTCTGATTGAGAGGCGAGCTACCCTTGCTCACTGAAAACAGACGTGTGCTCGCGGTGGCCAGAGATCTTCGCTCGATCTACGACGCCCAAAGTATCGTCTACTGCAGTGGCTGGTGTGTAAGAAGGTTCCCTCATCTTCATCACACCTGAGTTTGAGTTGGAATCGCTATTGGGTTCTTAGCATACTGGCCTTAATTTAACCACACTTATTCAATTCTTAGCTAATATTTCGAATAACCTTATTTGTTCACATTTTCTCTTGTTATGTGGAAAATTGTGTTGCCTGTATTAATTAAAAATGATTCTGTATTACCCTTTAAGCAGCTCGCTTTCCATAAACATATGTTAATCATTATATTACTTATTTTCCAATAATCAACTTGGACTTATTACTTTAAATATCCAATCTAGGTACGAGCTTACTGGCGTATAGCCGTCTAATACTTTCTCCCCATACGACAAGACACCGATAATTCTATTGTCATATATCAGAGGGCTACCGGAATCACCCGTTCCAGACTCATATACTTTGGTTGAACACCGATGAGTAACACAAATCAAATGTCTTGCAAATCCTCTGAACTCACTGCTGCACGGAATTACAGCAGCTTCGCCGACCTGGAGTGGTAGCAGATCTTTGCTTTTTGAGCTGTTGGTGTCGCCACCTCCCACGTACGTTACCGAGAGCCCGACGAAGGAGGAGTAGTCGTCAGCAGACAGTCTCCCGTAGCTTTGCAAGTTGATATCTTTAACGCGCAATAAACACAGGTCGTTATCTTCTAGGAAATCAAAAATACTGCGGTAAGACGGATGTAGGATTATTTCTAGTACTTCACGAAACATATTGCTGACGAGTGGAGAGACAGTGTGATTGCCATACCAAACGAACAGTTGGGTTTCTATTTGGTAGGCGCAGTGCCCAGCAGTGATCACCCAGTTCTTTGAAATCATTGATCCAGTGCACAATCTGGCGAAGGAGTTATGATTGTTGGAACGAATGAATATTACAACCACGTATGGGTATTCTCCTTCTTTTATGTCTCTTCCATTGAAGACTCTTAGACTTGGGCTTCTGATCAACGAATGGTGGCGCAAATGGTTTTTGGAGGTTGCAACACAATTAAGAGCCAACAATATAAATGTTGCGTATAACTTGACTATAGTATTATAGTGTGACATGTTACGACTGCCAAGCTTAGCAAGTAACGTCGCCTATCGATAAATTTTGCAATTTTATTTTATTACTACATACCTACATTACTTTTTTATTTATTCCTCACTCTGTTTAGCTATGATTTGAAATGTTGACTATGTTGGTGTGTTCTCTAAATATGACTATAGTTTACAGGTATAGTTTATAGTCTGCATTGAATTATTGAATTATTTTAATCTTGTCATTATTTATGGCTTCCGCATAATTGTGTAATTTAAATACGTATAGCCATATAGCCTGATTTAAGGTGATCGCTATGATTTGACATAATTTTGAAATATGGATTCATTAAAAATAAAACCTCTGACTGAATCTAACCATTCTGGAATTTTTGCGTTCATAGATTTAAAAAAAAACAATGCCCCACACTATGATTTTCTCCTGTGTCGTGGGTGTGTTTACAAATATACAATTTCACATGCACATCACACCCAGACCCGGAACAAGATTCCGTGGATCACACAAAGAGTTGTTCCGTGCGGGTATCGAACCCGCGGCACGTTGTGCGGCAGCCGGTTGCCAGGCCACCGCGCCAACCGTGCAGTCAAATAATAAAAACATTTAAAGATTTGGATAAAAATTCTTAACACGATCGACATCGTGGGTTAAATCTATTTAAATATAAAAAACAAAAACATTAAACACAGTTTTTACGTTTTTACACACAAATGTAGTGTAAGCCGCGCTCCAGCTGGGTGGACTGATATCCATAGAGAAATCCGTAGTGTGATTAGACGAGAAGAGCTGAACATCGAGCTCAGCGGCGTCCAAGTGGAGAAGCCAATGTCCAGTATTGGATAAAAACAGGCTGATGATGACGATGATAGCAACAGTGACATTATATCGTAATTAACAAACAAACATTTTTCACCAGCCCCGGAACAATAACGACGATTCTATCAATCTAGGTGTGTGCAATGGCTAGCCACTGAACCAGGCTGGAACAAGGATGTAGGGACAAGTCTAATTCAACCTCCTGAAACGACTTAAACTATGTTTTATTTTTTAATTATGCTCTTCACGCATACAGTGTATGATTAGACAGGTTATCAGAAGGAGATGAAGTGAAAGAATGAGAATACTGAAACATTGAAGGGACAGGAACAGCTGTCTTTAATTCTGCGACGAAATAAATCAGAATATATATTCAGAGCAGAAGAAAACACATATTATCTATTTCCCGCAATGCTTTAATACAAGAAACAGAATAGTGGTACTTATTAAAATAAGACAAAGTCTAAATAAGATTATAAATTAGATGGTACTTGGTTTTCCAATGATACATTGTTTCTTCTGTTTTGTGTTGATCCCCAATCATTATACAGTCGATTGTCAGTTAAAACAACATGTAATTTAGTTACATTAACGTCTATTTTTCTGACACTCATATTTTTATTTGCAAAGATTTTTATTACAGGTATACTACCAACTTATAATTTAGAAATAGAAATCTAATACTTATATATATTTCTGACTATTTATTTCTTACTTAAAAATGTACCTCAAACATATACTGGCTATGAAATTATGATGAACGCTTCCAATGTTCACGTTTTATCAGGAACAGTATTATTTTTTATTACATGGGATATCCAGTCTAGGTACGGACTGATGGGAGTGTAAGCGTTCCGTACGAGAAATTCGTTGTAGAAAAAGTAAGAAAATATTCCAACTATTTTACCTTCGAAGAACAGAGGACTGCCGGAGTCACCAGCGTCCGCGACTGTTGTTCTTTCCTGACATTTCGGGGTAGCACACATCAAATGCCTATTAAAACCTCGGAACGTGTCATGACAATTAACAATGGCCGCATCAGCAACGTCCAGGAGCCTGGTCACTGTCTCCTCCGAATTTGCTGTAATCCCAGAAGCCACATAGGTCACAGCGAGACCTAACAAAGATGTGTAGTCCGTCGAGCACAGCACTCCAAAAACATGTTCGTTTATTGGTTCTGTTCGCAGTAAACTTATGTCATTATCCATAGACCATTTGTCAGGTAGCTCCATGTATGAGTAAAAGTTGGGATGTAAGAAGATGTCAAGTACTTTGACGCTTGGTGAGTTGTCGTTCAGCGGTTTGTCGAATCCTGCGTACCATATCTGGGGGCCACGAATACGCTCGGTGCAGTGAGCGCACGTGATTACCCAGGTTTTGGACAACGCTGCGGCCGTGAACAGCCGGCCACGCCACTGCAACTGTCCAAACCCTAACACCACGAAAGGATAATCCTTAAAACTAGCGTAGTACCGTCTCCCATTCTCCCTCACTATATCTCTTAACACCGATCGCGAATGATTTCTAAAGTTCCTGTATTTGAGATCCAAAGTGTTCGTGACCAATAAGCCGCAGACTTTTCCTAAAACGCTTAAAATGCTCAGAACCACGATGATCTGGACCATTCTAAAGTTTAAGTCCGACATCGAAAAAGAAAAGAATTATTTATTTTGAATTGTTTTTTAGTTTTATATTTATTTTTATGGTATTTTTATATACATTACAATTATTTCTCGCTTGCTTTTTTATCTCCATACGGCTGTTGTTGCTTCACATATACGAGTAACTACGTCGACTGGTTTAATTTTGGCAGTTTTAATGACAGATCCTCAGAGACACAAGGAAAATTCTTGATAACTTTAGAAACCAACCGTTCTTATACTAACTAAAAATATTGATAGTCTGTTATTGATATTGAATGTCTGATGTCATCCACAGTACATGCATAATTGCTGTGCATATGAACATTCCATAAAACGGTATGACACTTACCACTCATAAAACAATAAACTTCAGTTAAAACTTGATACTCACAAAATATAATTTATCATGGAACAAAGTAAAATATTTAATTTATCATTTAAATTAAATACCATTGTTGAAAATGAGATCAATCATTGTGTATTTATTGCCCCAATTAAATGATTGTTGGCAATCTGATTGCGGTGGCCGGGGTATTTATTATTCAGTTACATCTCCTTCTACAAGCGACAAGCCTTTTGTTAATTAATGATAAATAGCTTTCAACTGTTTATTGAAAATTATTATTTAACATTATATCAGTAAAACTCAAAATATAATAAGCGTATACCTAAATATCATAGTATTTATAAGAACAGATTCTTAGACACGTTGGTTCAAACATCAAGGAGTCAATCGAGTCAATATGTGGGATTTGTGAACAAGGTCTGATTTCTGAGCTTTCAATTGATATTTCTTAATATCCTTGGTTTTTGTGCAATTAGTATATGATATTTTCTCTCATAACCTACTTACGACTGGAATACATAAATTGGTCTTTTTTTACAATTAAGGTGCTTAATAATGTTATATTTTTTTTTAATTAGACGAAGCGTTCTATATTTAAAAGTTCAAATAAATGATTTTTGACTGTGACACAAAAAGATTAACGATCAAAATAAACAGCTACTAAAATTTTAGTGGTATGAAAGGTCTAGTTGATTGATTGAACGGCTATTTTAACCAGTTAGAATGATGAGTAGACATTAACACAAATTCAAAATGTTGAATAGTTTTGTTTGATGGAAAACATATTATTCTATGTAGACTCAATCACCTCCGCCTCAGACTGCGAGAGTCAGGACGCCAGGACTTTAATCTTTTATAACCAAGTCACAAAGTTATTTAAGTGAGTTTGGATTTCGTGTATTTGCCGGTTTGTGTACAGTCTGCACAATTATTTGGTCTACAAATAACAATATAAATAATATGTCAGTTGTTATAGTCGTTGAATTACAGTCTGTACTGAACGAATTGACTGCATGGTTGGCGTGGTGGCTGGGTTACTAGCTAGCGCGCAACGTGTCACGGGTTCGATTCCCGCACAGAACGACTCTGTGTGATTCGCAAATTGTTTTTTCCGGGTCAGAATGTGACTGTGTGACATTCAATTGAATGTTTGTAAACGCACTCACGACATAGGAGAAGGCATAAAAGCGGGACAACGCTTTAAAAAAAAAGTCACCAGCCTGTAAGTGCCACACTATTGAGTAAAGACCTCATTTCCCATATTATAGAAAGACACAATGCGAAAATGTGCCATTATAGTTCGTTCCTATATATCGATAACGATTATCGCTGCTGAACTTGTCGAAGAGGATCCCTATGGACTTCAATGCACGTATATTGTACGTATGCAATAAGTGACGCATGAGTTGCATTCTGCATAGAGCGCCAGACTCATTGTAATTCTGTTACAGGCAGGCATGTAACTGGTTTATAGGTTAATAGTGCTATCCTTTGTATCTGTGACGTCATGGGACTGAAGAGTCAAGTATTATGGAATAAAAGTTGATATTGTGTCTTTAATATAAACGAGAGACTACTATTATAAACACTTTGAAAGGATTTCAGAATTACAAAAAAGGTAAAGAAATACGAAGAAAACTTACTTTTCGAAACATATCTAGATTTTGGTGTAGGTACCTACCTAGTATACTTCTCAATTCGGCGACGAACAAATTTTCAAGCAATTACCGACGGCTTACGCGCGTAAATCATTAATTTCTCTTGTCACCTTCCTTTTCGTTTACCTTGTTGCCTAAAATGTGACTTTATAAAATCAACCTTAGAGTGCATTCTAGAATGAATGTTTATTGCTTTAAGGTAAATTTGGTCTGCAGTTGATTTCACATCAATCAATGTGCTGTAAAATAGAATTGAATCGCATATCGTTGGTTTAGAGTGTAATTTAGTGAGCTAATAAAGTGGTGACGATAAAACCGCACATTACATTGGATTGCAGAACAAGTGGTTGATGTTACGAGTGCTCGAACCTCGTGTTTAGACACGAGCCGAGGCACCGACATGTGAGCGTTGTATCGTAATTGTTCCTCGCTACCTTACACTAATACGTCATAGTATTTTCATTTTGAGGCTTGTTATTTTAATACGGCAGTGATTTGTGACTCGTTTATTTGTTGGAACTGTAATGATATTTTTTGAGCATATCATATACAGTCATTTGCCTATAGAACAACTTTTTTATGTAATATATCAGTAAACGAGAAGACTAGTTAAGTGATGGTAAACAATCAACACCGTCCGTGGACAGCCGCTTTACCAAATGTGTCACAGGTGCTTATCTTTTGGGAATGGAGAATTTGGAGACTGCGTTTTATTATTAAAAAGATAAAAATCGAATTATGTAATACGTATTTTGTTTCTAGTTTCAATTTTACAGTGTGAGGTGTTCTCGAGCGAAAGAAGGCTAGTTTTAAGGAATGCTTAAAGTTTTACGAAAGATGAAGGATGAATGACAACTATAATTAATAAATAAATAAATAAATAATATTGTATACATATTGTGTTATAATTATTTATTTTTTCCCTATATGCTTTTAATAAGTATGAAATAAGAATTGAGTAGAGTAATTGGTTTTAGGCCGTCTTAAATAAATGTTCATTTAAAACGTTTTGAATCAGGTATAAGCTTTAAAGGTTCCATATACATACTATACATACATACTTTTAACTCTCCGTCTTTGGGAGCATGAGTGTTGATACATAAGAAACTCAAATAATCACGTTCGTAATAAAATTCAATAGTTTGGGCACCTCCTGGTGAGAGATAATATATAAAGAGAGTATGCTACGGGAAATGTTTATCTATTTACTTCCTTCGGCAAGGGACGTGGGGCTCAAATATTGGTCAAACGTGCCTCAATATTGAAAGATGTGATTGTAGGAAAGTGAATAATTTTGGGTCATTCATATCTCCCTCGAATCACACGCCAAATTTAGTCCACAAAGTGAATATTTGCTGGTCATGGCAATCATAACGGATTTTTTTTGTAGTTCGCGTTCCAACCAGTTTCATAGGTAAATTCATACGGATTCACTCAACCAAAATGTACGGCAGGATTGGGTTTAAAAAACATTTACGTAGCACACTATACCAGTCCGTATAGTTACAGAACACTCTCAAACATTAATTTTGTAAGTCACGTGGTTAGCTAGTTTACAAAACATTTGAATACTTTGCTTTATTTGAGATAGATGTCATAGACATGGCGAAAGAGAAATAAAATCAAAATTCTCTCTTCTAGACAGATAATAAAAAAAAAACAATAAAAGAACATACCATAATTTTACACAATAAAAAAAGTTCAATACTCGAATAAAATGAATCAAAGCTTAAGACTGGGATTCAGTTACATTATTCCTAAGTATAAAACTTAGAAATGTCGTCATCATATATTTTAAATTAAAAAGAAAAATGTTGACAATGTCTATTTTTTTTTGTTAGAATAATAATTAAGTATCACTCGAAAATTAAAATAAGTGTGAGAGAGTCATGCTTTGGCACGAATGGGTCGATTCGACCATCATAGTTATATCACGGCTTCACAAAAACCGGCGGCAATAAACCACAGCGTTGTGTTTCTCTGTTTGAGGTCTATTACCTGAGGGCACCGAGCCTTTCCTTCCCTAAATCTATAAAAAGCTGGCAACAAACTCGTAATTCCTCCGGTGTGTCGGGTGTACATCTAAATATAGTATAATATCCAAATAGACGTGTGCCGTCTTATCCCATAAAAAATAATTAAAATCTGCACATATATCATTCCAATCTAAATGTTTTAAATGTGAATGTAATAAAATTAACGCTAGGAGCTAAAGCAGCCGCAAACTGCGCCATTTGTAGCGGTTTTCTTGTTGCTGCTATCTGTGGCTACTTCGTGCTATTGCCATGGCCACAGCGCCACTGTTCGCCACTGTTGGTGAATAGTGGCTGGAAAATGCTAACAATTTTTGCAATTCGTAAATAAAATTGTTCGCATCTTTACCGTAAGTATTTTATTGTGTTAGGGCAACAGATAAAATAGATGATATTGGAGAAAATATGTGCCAAATTATGAGTCTGTAGGTACTTTTGTTGCCAAATTAATGTATTAAGTACTGATGCAAACTATGCTGTTTCGCATTTCTAGGGAAAATACGGTAAAAAAAATGAAAAAAATACAACCACAGCACACAAAACATAAACAAACAATATATATAAACGAAATATCCGTACGTCTGTAAACTCTATCAAAAATGCGTGAAATTTAAAACAAATAGAACGTACAAATTTTGTTATATTCCAAACGGGGGCAACAAATATTGTTTGGTGAAACAACACGAGGCCGAGTTAATACGGAGTTTGAACTATCATAAATCGTTCGAACACCCTGTTGTGAGAGCAGAGTTCCAATTTTTTGTAGCATGTGCCTTAACGAATCAGCCTTACAAGCTTATGTTATTTTAGAGTAAAAAGTAAGTCATCCCTTAATCAAAATGTTCAACTCGTTAAAATGAGTATAATTCACAAAAGTTATAAATATATTATGCTGTCTGTGTGTAAGTATCCAATAAAATACATAAAACTCATAAACTGCTCAAT